TGAGCTGAAGGCAGATGCCTTAACTGACTGAACCACCCAAGTGATCCTCTTGAGATAATTTTAGATTCACACACAGTTGTAAGTAATGATTAGAGGGGCACCTGGGTGGCTCAATTGACTGGGTGCCTGGCTCTTGGTTTCAGCTTAGGTCATGATCTCAGGGTCCTGGCATCAAGCCCTGTGTCAGGCTCCTCACTCAGCAGGGATTCTGCTTCAGGGTTCTCTTTCTCCCTCTGCCCCTACCCCCACTCACTCTCTCTCATTCTCTCCCTAAAATAAATAAATAAATCTTGAAAAAAAAAAAAAAAAGAAATGATCAGAGACATCCCTTTACACTCTCCTCAGTTTCCTCCAGTGGTAACATTTTGCAAAATTACAGTATGTCACAACCAGGATTTTGACATTGATACAATCTAATGATCTTATTCAGATTTCCCTATTTTACTTGTATTCTTTTTATGTGTGTCTATATTTGTATTAAGTTCTACACAATGTAATCACCTGTGTAGTTTTGTGTACCCATCACAAAGTCAAGATACCGAACAGTTCCAACAAAACAATGATTCCTCGTGTTGCCCTTATATAACCACTTCTCCCCACCATCCCTAACCCCTGGCAACCACTACTCTGTCCTCCATTTCTAAATTTTTTTCATTTCAAAAATGTTGTATCAGTAGAATGATACAATGTATAACCTTTTGAGATTGGCTTTCTTTTCCCACTAAGCATAATTTCCTGGAGATTCAGCAAAGTCATTGCATATATCAATAGTTCATTTATTTTTATATGCTGAGTTATATCCCATGGTATATATTTATACTGAAATATATATATTAATATATCATATGTTAAGATTTTATTTATTTATTTGACAGAGAGAGAGCATGAGCCGGGGTCCGGGGGAGGGGTGCGGGCAGAGGGGCAGAAGGAGAAGGAGAAGCAGACTTCCTGCTGAGCATGGAGCACAACACAGGGCTTAAACCCAGGACCTGGGATCATGACCTGAACTGAAGGCAGGTGCTTAACCAACTGAGCCACCCGGGTGCCCCTATATTGAAATATATTTTTAAAGGTTATTTTTACATACAAAAATTTTCATCATTTTGCTGCTTGCAAAGGGCACCAATCATTTGTTTTGCCATTTTTGGGTGGCATGTTCTATAAAGATCAATTAGGTCATGTTGGTTGATAATTTTGTTTAGACCATCCAAATCTTTCCTGATTTTTTGTATACTGGTTCTGTCAATTACAGAGATAGGGATGTTAAAAATCTCCTATTATAATTTTGGAGCTATTTATTTATTCCTTTATTTCTGTTAATCTTTGCTTCATATAATTTGAAGCTGTGTTATTAGGAGCATACTCACTTGGGATTGTTAGCACTTAATGATTAATTGACCCTTTTATCATTATATAATGCTCCTCTTTATCTCTGGTAATATTTCTTGCCTAAAAGTTTACTTTGTGTGATATGAAAACAGCCATTCCAGATTTCTTATGATTATGCTTACATGGTATATCTTTTCCATCCCTTTACTTCTAACTTGTCTGTGTCTTTATGTTTTAAGTGAACCTTTTGCAGGCAGCACGTAGTTGGATCTTACTTTTTAAATGCTTCTGACAATCTCTGCCTTTAATTGAAGTGATTAATCCATTTACACTTAATGTAATTATTGATACAGTTGTTTAAATCTATTATTTTTTTTCTATCTATACTTGTGTCCTTTATTCTTGAACTCCTTGGATCAAGAATATTTTAATATTCCATTTTATCTCATCTATTGGGTTTTTAGATGTACCTTTTTTTGGTGGTTGCTCTAAGGATTACAGTATGAATCCCTAACTTATCCCGGTTTGCTCTGAATTAATATTAGTATACCTCTTCATGTATAACATAACCACCTTACAACAGTATAATTCCATTCATATCCTCTTCTACTTTGCTATAAAGCTAACAACACATTGTATTATTTTTAGTTTAGTCATTTGTCTTTATTTTTTTAAGATTTTATTTTCAAGCAATCTCTACACCCAATGTAGAGCTCAAACCAACAACGTTGAGATCAAGAGTCACATGCTCAACTGACTGAGCCAGCTAGGTGCCCCTAGTCATTTGTCTTTAAGGAAATTAAGAAGAGAGAATAGTCTTCAATATACAGTTGCCTTTTCCAGGACTTCTTATTCCTTCTTGTAGACCCAAGCTCTTGTCTTATTTCATTTCCCCTCAGAATGAAGAACTTCTTTAGCTTTTCTTATAGTCTGGGTCTCCTGGCTGTGAATTTGTGCACCTGTCAATTAATAAGCCTTGAGAATTTGATCCAATCTCAGCCACCATGTCTTTTGCATTATAGGATTCAGCCAACACTAGCAATTCCCTGGGAATGGATTCACCCAGTCCCCAAACCGCAGCAGCCACATCCTGTCATTCTGAAGGGGAACTGGGTCTGACGGTCATCAAAGGGGTCCCTAAGAACGAGGCACTTGTAACTGCTTTCCACAATGGCCCAAGAGCCAGTTTTCCTTCCAGTCACGCTCCCATGCCAAACTTAGGGTCCGCCTAAACCTCCTACTTGGGGCAAGAGTGGCTAGGCTATTGAATGGACTGAGTGTTGCCTCTTGAAGGCCTGAGATAGTCACCCTTCAGGCCTCTGGTGGTTTGAGAGGACCTATCCTTCCTATCTACCTTCCCCCTGCTGGTAACAGACTGGCCACTGGCAGGAACTCTTCTCCAAACCTCTCTCAGCCTCCCTGATGTTTTGCTCGGGGACATCATCAGCTTTTTCAGAGAGAATTTGGTTCCTGTGCTTCCATGGGTCTTTAATGCCAAGGACATTTCCTTAAGATCAAGGGTCATGCCCACTTTAGTGTCTACTGCCAGGGTCTTAACTGCAGATTCTTTTGATTTGTCTGTGTTTGTTTGTTTGTTTTTTCTTCACAAACCTTCATGCTGCCTCTTTGTCTTCCTCCTTCTTCTGAGTCCCCTTCCCCAACCCTGCAGAAGCCGCCACACAGAACCGGTCTGCTATTTGCTGCAAGCAAATCTGAGGTGACAGTCTCTCTTCTGTCATGTGGCACAGTGTGGTCAGCCGACTGTCTCCTTCTAACTGGTTGCCCATGGGCACGTCCACTAACCTCTAACCCTTTGCAGACTCAACCTCTCCATCTGTAAACAGGACTGTTGTGAAGATGAAATAAGATCAATCATGTAAAGGCTTTAACACAGTCTAGCACCTGGTGAGCCACTGTGTCAGGTGTTGTATTTACAGCCCTACCTGTGTTATGCATCATGGTTGTAGCCCTGCTCTCAAACATCTTCCCTGACTCTCTTTCCAGCCTCAACTCATCCGCCAGAGGGTTGCTGGATATTCAGGGATGTGAACTCCTCTTTGCAGAGTACCACTCGTTCTCACCCTTGGCCGCCTGGGAAGGGATGTCAGGCTTCAGACCCTAGCAAGTAGATTCCAGGGACTTGCCACAGCTCTCAGCTGAGGACCACATGGCTCACAGCTGGTTTCATGGGCTTCCCCATCTCTGTCTACCTGTGGCCTGATGTAGCCCAGTTCTGGGGCTTCTCGGGGAGAAGACAAGAAAGGGCTGGGAGTCATGGAGATAATTAGATGAGGCCTGGGTAGGGGAGAGGACCTGAAGCTACAACTACAGGGCCCTCAATTCAGGGAAAGACTACTAGGTGCTCCTATAGGATCCAACGGGAGCCCAGAGCTGGACACCCGGTCAGCTGGGAGTCTCCCCAACATTGATGATGCTTGGCTAGAATACTGATGGACAAATGGGAACAGTGAGTCAGACAGTGAAGGAAGGGCATTCCAAGCACAGGAAAGGGCATTTAAGGAGACTTGAAAGAGCCTGATACATTCTAGGAACTGGAAGTAATTCCGGTCTGTTGGTCCCTATGATCTACAGGACCAAGACCAAACTCTCTCCCTTGACGTTCAAAGCCCTTTGTAATCTTGCCAGAAACGACTTCCCACCACTCCTGCCCACCCCACTCCTGTCCTTTTGTTACAGCCACTCTAACAGGTTCCTGTTTTCCCAGCAGGCCATTAACATTCTGGCCTCCAGGCCTTTGCCGAGGCTACTCCCTTTGCAGGGAAAATTCTAACCCTCTTCTTTGCAGAGCTAACTCCTTCTCATCTTCGGGGACATCTCCATTAGAAGCCCCTTCAGGGCGCAAGGTGGATGCTGTACCACCACTGTCTAGCGGGGCTGAATACTTAATCACATCAAGGAACTCTTCTCTGAGTACCCCCAAATACACGCCGGCCTCCGTGCTGCCATCAGGGCTCCCCGAAACCTGTCCATGCCTTGCCAGGGCTTCTTGAGGCAGGTTATCATTTCTTATGCTCATTTCTTTTTCTTCAGTGTCCAACTCTACCTGGCACAAAGGAGGTGCCGCCTACCTTTTGTTGAATGAATGAATGATCGGGCATGCGTTTTCACCTTTTGTATCTTGTGAGCCCGCCAGGCCTGGCCGGGTGTTTTCCGTGCCGGGCACAGTTTGTTGCCTTCCGCGCTGTCGCCCAGGCACCACCCTCACCGCCCCTACCCCCCTACCTGGGGCCGCTCGACCCAAAGCCGCTCCCGAAACGGCTCCGCCCACAGCCGGGGTTGGAGGGCGCAGGCAACGCCCACCCCGCCAGGCCGCCTGGGATTGGTGCGGCCGCCGCCAGGAGGCGGGCACAGGGCCGGGCCGCTGCTGACGCTCGCGCGGCCAGAAAAGCCCCGCCAGGTGGCTGGCCAGGGGACTGACGGCGCGGGCAGGAGGTGGTGAGTGCCCGACAGGCGGGACGGGCGGGACGCGCGGGGCGGGCGGAGCGGAGGACGCTGACGACCGTGGCGCGCACTGGGCGCTGCCCACGTCCGCCTCCCCACAGGCTGCGCTGGGCCAAGCGCAGTGCCGAAGCCCAGAGCCCCGAACCCGCCCCGCCCGAGGGATCCCGTCCGGGGGCCGAGGAGGTTGTCAATCCCGGCTTGTCTTCCAGACCCGGACCACCGAGGCCCCTGGACGACGACGAACCGCCCAACATGGCATCGGAGGTGAGTGGGACCTCGGGGACGCAGGTCCTCCGAGTGTCCAAACGAGGGGGAGGGGCACTCTGGGAGCCAGCCAGGGCCGTGACCTGCACACGGGATCTCCCCGTGCCAGACCTGCCGCCGGCCACCCTCCTGGTAATCGTCTTCGGTGGCTCCAGGCGATGGGTACCTCCTGGTGCACCTGCCCGGGCCTGGGAGAGACCCGTGCCTGGACTTCCCGGTGGCCGCATCACCGTCTGCTCTCTCTCCCTTCCCGCTCCCTGGGAGCCTGTGTGGCACTTACCAGCCCACAAGGCTAGGGAAGGTGGCCCTGACCTGACCTGATAGGGCTCCCAGCAAGGGGGCAGGAAAGGAGCTGCCCACTCATTCAGCTCCCTCGCCTCTTCATTCCTTCTTCCCCGATGCCCTTCCTGTTAGTCCCCACCCTGCGCCCCTTCTCCTGCTGTAGCCCTTGTCCCTGTGTAGAAGAGGCCACATGACTATGGCTTGTGGAAAGAACCAGGAGGTAGGGGACCATGCCCTGGAGCCCTAGTGGCCCCAGTGTCTGGTGGCTTCCTGTCTCACTAGCCTCTCTTCCTTAGAGCCAGAGGGCTCCTGGGTTCTCTTCCTGACCACTGAGTAGGCATAAAGGTGTCTTTTCTGGGGCCTCAGTTGAATTATCTGGCAAATGGGGATAATAATAGATCTCTGCCTCCTTCTGTAAGGTACTGGATCATGAGGTCATTGCTTTGAAGCTTTCAGGTAAAAGGGGCTGTTTGCTTGATGCCAGTGAAGGGAACCTGTGGCCTGGGAAGCAGGAGGTCTGGGTTCCAGTTCTTTTAGGTCCTCATTAGCTAGCAAGGCACTTCCTCTCTCTGGACCTGTTTGTTCATCTGAATAAACTGGATAAGAATGCCTGCCCTGCTAGTTTCTGGATCATGGTGTAGTGGATTTGTTTCTGAAGCAGTCACTCGACCTCCCAGGGTAACAGTGCCCAACTCACAGGAGGGTGTAATAGCATATGTAGAATGCCTAGCACAGGGCCGAGCTGTTCTACTATGTAGTAAGTGCTCAATAAATGGTGACTAGGCCTGGGTGGCTCAGTCATTAGGCGTCTGCCTTCCGCTCAGGTCATGACCCCAGAGTCCTGGGATCGAGCCCCGCATCGGGGTCCCCGCTCAATCAGTCTTTAAAAAAATAAAAATGGTGGCTAACGATACCAACAGTAACAGCACGTTATTTTCCTTGTGCCTTCTAAATTGGCTGCTGCTCATTCATCCCAACCCAAACCAGTGCTCCTTGCCCCAAAGGTATCATCCTGGCCCAGATGTGCCCTAGGTTAGAGGGGTGCCCTTTCAGCCACATTAGGCCTCCCCCTCTCTTCAGAGCCCAAATGGTAGTGCCTCATTCTGACATCCTTCTGGGATCTTTTTTTAAAAAAGATTTTATTTATTTATTTGAGAGAGAGATTGAGAGCTTGTGGGGGGGGGGTGGCACAAGGGGCAGGGAGAGGGAGAGAGAATCTCAAGCAGACTCCCCACAGAGCGGGCAGCCCAGCAGAGCAGCTCTATCTCAGGACTTTGAACTGAGCAAAAACCAAGAGCCGGACACTCAACGGACTAAGCCACCCAGGCCCCCTCTTTCTCGGGTCTTTTTAAGCCTGCCAGTGGGGTGGGAGCTTGGCTCCAATGCAGAGTGGACTGCCTTCAGGAGACCAGAGCATCAGGTGACTTCTGCTTGCCCCAGGCCGTCCTGTGGGTTGGTGCTAATTGGTTTGGCTGAAGCCCCACTTGTTAAGTAGTTGTTATTACTAACAACCTGGGCAGGGAGTCCAGGGCCTGCTGGAGGAGGCAGTGCCAGGTTTCTGGCTGAGGGGCCGGCTGGCTTCCAATCCTGACTGGCACTGGCTGGCCCTGGTCCTCTGGCCCCAGCAGTCAGGAAAGGGAGCCATGGGGTGCTTTGCGGGAGAGCTAGGCTTGGCGGGAGAGCTAGGCTTGGCGGGTAAGGGGCGGATCTAGCTCAAAAGGTTGAGGGGGGCGGAGGCTGCTTCTGCAGGGCAGAGTCCTCAGACAGCCAAGGCTGCTGGGCGATGAGGGGTCAGTTCACAGCCTGGGGCCTGAGCGCAGGGGAGGCCCCCACGGTGCACACAGGAACCAGGACTGGCGCTAAGGCACGCCCTGCCTCTGGCAGACCTTGGCCCCTCCCTTACTAAGAGCATTTACTGAGTGCCAGGCACCATGCTATGTATGCACTTAGAAATTTTACCTAATTGAATGCTCATAACAACTCTAGCAGATAGGTACTACTATTGTCCTTAAAGAGGGGTGACCCTGCAGTTTAGAGAGGTTATGTACTATGCCCACAATCAGGTGGCTAGGAGAGGTCGGGGACGTTGCAGGGTGACAGAAGAGGACATATGTCCCCAGCAGCCATTATAAACTCTCCTCCACAGAAAAGTTGGCAGTGAAGTAAAAAGCCTACCTTCACCCAGGGAACACTCTCCTAATCCTTGGCATTCTGGGAGCTAGGACTGCTCCCCATGTGTTCTGTACCCCTCCCCCATCTGTCACATGCTCTGGCCTCTGTACTCTTTCAAAACAGAGGTGTCTCTGTCCCACCCCTCTGCCCTTGGCTCCTGGGAGGCAGAGGGTCAGCTAGTGACCTTCTAGAAGGCCAGTGATAACAGATGTGCCAGAGGCATTCTCCAAAGGAGTGATGGAGGTTGGGATCTTAGGCCCTGCACCAAGCTATGGGAGAGAAATGCAGGCCACTGGAGCCTGATGGGGCCCCTCAGGTGCTTCCTTGCCTGTCCTTGCTGCAAAAGTTCAGGATACCAGAGCCCGCAGAGAGGCCCTGGTGGAACATGGGGTTTGAGTGCGGACCCTGCTTCAGATAGCTGGGCTGCAATCCTGGCTCTACCTCCCCAGCAAGGGCTCTGTGCCTTGGTTTTCCCCTCTCTGTAGTGGGACAGAATTGGTACCTACTTCAGAGAGTTTCTGTTGGTGCATGCTAAGCAATTACAATTATGCCTGGCACACAAGAATGAGATATGTGTTAGCCAGGATTATTATCATTATCGTTGGAGTATCACAGCTGGATTGAAACTCTGGATTCCAGAGTGACTTCTTCCCTTGGTCAGTGTAGCAGGAAAGGTCCCAGAAGTTCTGCTGTAGTCTCAGGGGTGCCTTGTACCCTGCCATCATTTCCTTAGAGAAGTGTCACAGGGTGGGAAAGAACCCTAACTTCAGCCACATTCCCACACTGACTCCCTGAGTGACTTCAGGAATTTCCTGATCCTCTCTGAGCCTTAGTTTCCTTATCTGTCCAGTGAAATAATCCTGCCTGCTGGTTCCCACTGCCATCAGACTTGATAACTCTCCTGTGGGCCCTTTGTGAGAGGCACTGTTCTCAAGGGTGGGGAGGAGATTAATTGCTCCTGCTCTCCTGGCCAGAGTGGGAAGCTATGGGGTGGCCGGTTTGTGGGCGCAGTGGACCCCATCATGGAGAAGTTCAACTCATCCATTGCCTACGACCGGCACCTGTGGGAGGTGGATGTGCAGGGCAGCAAGGCCTACAGCCGGGGCCTGGAGAAGGCGGGGCTCCTCACCAAGGCTGAGATGGACCAGATACTCCATGGACTGGACAAGGTATTCTGTACATCCTAAGCCCCACCCTAGAGCCCCTCCCTGTGGTCCCAGGCTCCTACCAAGTCCCTCGGGGGTGGCGACTGCATCCCCCTTGTGGAGCACTCACCCTTCCTGTGGCGCACCTGTAGGACTCAGCTCTTATACAGAGACAGTCAGTGTTCAGACGTCCTCTTCCCAGGGGTGGGACCGGGGACCGGTTTGGCTGCGGACGGCTGACCCCTGACCCCTGGGGTTGTTGCCATCTGCTACAGGTGGCTGAGGAGTGGGCTCAGGGCACCTTCAAACTAAACCCCAATGATGAAGATATTCACACAGCCAACGAGCGGCGTCTGAAGGTATGACCCCCCCCCCCCAACCTGTCCGCCTGGCCTCCCCTCTCCACCTCACCCTTGGCCACTTGGAGCATAAGCGCCATCATTCTGTTCCCTTCCTCACTGGCAGAGGGCAGGCCGGACCTCAGAGCAGGTGGCCTCTGCAGAGATGGCAGGGACCAGGAGTAGGGAGGGAAGGTGACAGGGCTGGGAGGAACCAGGCCCTGCCTAAGCTGACCCCAGTGGGCTACAAGTAGGCAGACCCTGACCCCATGCCTCCCTCCACCCCCAGGAGCTCATCGGTGAGACTGCAGGGAAGCTGCACACGGGCCGAAGTCGGAATGACCAGGTGCCACCAGTTCCTACGGCCCCCGCCCCACCGCACCCCCGGGCCCTGTGCATTCCCGATCTTGGGGAGCCCAGGTGGCAGATTTAGGGCTCGGCGGTGGTCCTGGCTCCCCAGCGAAGCAACACATCTCTCTCCCTGAGTGCCACATTCTCCTCCCCACAGGTGGTCACAGACCTCAGGCTGTGGATGCGACAGAACTGCTCTAAACTTTCTGCCCTCCTCCAGGAGCTCATCAGAACTATGGTGGACCGGGCAGAGGCGTGAGTCTCCCGTGGACCCCCCGGGGGGCACGAGGGCAGCCGGGGTCTGCTGTCCCCTAAGACAGGCAGCCTGAGTGCCAGATCTAGGTGGCAAGGGTGAAGGCGGTCGGGGAGCCAGGCCCTGGGGTTCAGGGGCCTCCCGGAACTCCTGGACCAAGTGAGGCAAAGCAGCCAGGCATGGGGGCACTTCCTGCCGCGTTTCCTACTGCCAGGCCCGCCGAGCTCAGCAGGCAGGGCGAGCTCACCCTCTGAGGCTTCATAAGTAGGAGGCTGAGGCACTAGGCAGATGCCCCGAAGCCTGAGGAAAGGGGCCGCCTGTGCTGGGGGCAGCCCGGGTCACCCTTCAGGCTGCCTGTGCCCCCTGTCCACCGTTCCACCCCCCGGTCCCCACCCAGCACGGACACAGGACAGCCAAAGCTGCCTCCCGCTGGCCTTGTCCCAAGTTTTGGCTCCTGTGACCTCACGTCTTTCGGGTTGCCTTTGCTCTTGGCCGACGTGGCCAATTTGCTGCCGAGAAGTCCCGATCCGGCGTCACAGTCAGGGTTGACCCTTCCTCTTCCGCAGCTCCCTGGGACCTCTGTTTCACTGACCTTACCACCTGGGGGACAATGAGGTCATAAGAACCATCAGTCACCCTGGGGGTGCTGGGGAGAAACAGGGAGTGACTCCTAATGACTAAAAGGTTTCTTCTCTGGGGGAAAGAAAATTTCTAAAATTGATGTGGTGACGGATGTACAGTAAAGTGTACAGTCTAAATGGGTGAATTGTAGGTGAATTGTAGCTCAGTAAAGCTGTTGATTAAAAAAACAAAAACAAAAAAAACAAAACCATCACCTACGGCACCTCTGCCTTGCCTACTTTAAAGAGCCCCCTGCTCGGGGCGCCGGGGTGGCTCAGTCGTTACGCGTCTGCCTTCCGCTCGGATCATGGTCCCGGGGTCCTGGGATCGAGCCCCGCATCGGGCTCCCTGCTCCGCGGGAGGCCTGCTTCTCCCTCTGCCACTCCCCCTGCTTGTGTTCCCTTTCTTGCTGTCTCTCTCTCTCTGTCAAATAAATAAATGAAATCTTTAAAAAAATAAAATAAAATAAAGCGCCCCCTGCTCTTCCGAGGTCCTTGGGAGCTTCTCAAAGTGCTCACAAATGCGACTCCCCCTGCCGGGTAGTACCCACTCTGTGTGCCCTCCTTTGCTCTCTCAACCTCTGCTCAGAGCTGAGGACTTAATCCCATTTGGTCCCAGCCCCAGTCCTACTCTGGGAGGCTCCACAGCCCTGGCCCGGTCCTTGGGTCGCACTGCCCCACTTCTGGTCCCCTCCATTATGATGTGTTTGTCCCCAGGAGATCACTTGGTTTCTTGTGCAGGCAGATCCTTGGAAGGCTGGCCCTGCTTTTCCCTGTTGGGGCTCAGGCCTGCAGGGTGTGGGGTGACACAGGCAGCCCTTGCCTGAAGCTGCTGAGCCCCCCCGGCCTCCGCCCCCATTCCCCCCCCCCCCCCCCCCCGTCCCCGCAGGGAACGTGACGTCCTCTTCCCAGGGTATACGCACCTGCAGAGGGCTCAGCCCATCCGCTGGAGCCACTGGATCCTGAGGTGAGTGGGGTGGGGCATAGGGCAGGGGTACTGTGGAGGGGCTGTGACAGAAGGGAGGGCCCCAGTTTGCCCTGACCGCTTGCCCCCTGGCTTCCTGCAGCCATGCCGTGGCGCTGACCAGAGACTCTGAGAGGCTGTTGGAGGTGCAGAAGCGGGTCAACGTCCTGCCCCTGGGGAGGTGAGTAAGGCCCCAGTGTTCTGAGGGCCTAGGTGGGGGTGGGGGTTGTGCCACACGGCTAGCACGGTCCTTGGGGACCAGCAGAAGAGGAGGTGCTAGGAAGGACAGAGGAGGCCAGCCAGCCGGGTAACTGGCCTCTCCGAAAGGGAGGGAACCCCGCTTGGACCCACGGCTCTCTCTAAGGTGGGGGTAACCAGGCTGGCAAGTATGTCAGAGCAGGGCCAGAGCTCTCCAGGGAGGTCCCAGCCCGCCAGCCAGTTGCCCTCAGCCTGCCGTTGCCACTCCATGGGGACAAGCGTTCGTCAGCCACGCTGACTGGGCAGCAGCCCTGACAGTCAGGGCTTGGCTCTGCGTGTGCACGTGCGTATGTGCCGGGAGCCCTGCTCACCTGGGCTCCCCTCTTCCTGCAGCGGGGCCATTGCAGGCAACCCTCTGGGTGTGGACCGGGAGCTGCTCCGAGCAGGTGAGGTGCCCTTGCCCCTCCCCTGCGGAGATCCCCCTCAGCGCCTGCCAGGCCCCCCAGACACACACTCGGAGGGGGCAGGGGTCTGGTTGAAACCCTCATTTATGACCTATGGACACTGAGGCTAGAGGGGCAGGAGAAGGCCGGTGGCAGGGGTACATGGCTCTGGGGACACTCAGAGCTCCTGCTTCCTTCCTGGGACCTGTACAAGAGACCCTTCCCCACTCCTGCCCCTCCCTACTCTCCTCCCTGAAAGAGTCTCAAGGGGGAGCTGGCTGGGCAACCTGATTTGGGGTAGAGGAAGCCGAGCCCTATTGCCTTCCCCGTCTCTCCCTCCTCCAGAACTGAACTTTGGGGCCATCACCCTCAACAGCATGGATGCCACCAGTGAGCGAGACTTTGTGGGTGAGTCCTAGGAGCCAGCACGCTTGTCCTCTGTAGGGCCATTCCCCCGCACCCTGCTCTGATTTGTCCTCTAGCCCTGGCTCCTCTCCAGCCCCCTCCCACCCCAAGTCTGGTCCGCCTGGGGCTTCTCCAGACTGAGTGGGGAGCTAGAGAGGCCTGGTGACCAGAAGGCCTGCTCTCCCTTTCCTCCCACAAGCTGAGTTCCTGTTCTGGGCTTCGCTGTGCATGACCCACCTCAGCAGGATGGCTGAGGATCTCATCCTCTACGGCACCAAGGAATTCAGCTTTGTACAGCTCTCAGATGCCTACAGGTAAGGCTGGACCCTGCCCTACCCCAGCTCTGCACCCACCAGCATGGCTTCCTTCCTCCCCACCCCCCCCCCCCGCCCCCTGGAGCAGACCTGGACTGCATGCTGCTAGACCTCACCGGATCCAGCCAGCAGACCAGCCAAGGGGCAGGGGAGCCCTTTCAGCCCCAGCATCTCTGTCCCCAGCACCGGAAGCAGCCTGATGCCCCAGAAGAAAAACCCAGACAGCCTGGAGCTAATCCGGAGCAAGGCGGGGCGAGTGTTTGGGCGGGTGAGCAGGGCAGGGAGTGGGGGCAAGGCTTTTGGGCTGACCTGGGGGGTCCCGAGGGAACTTCCAGGATGGGCTCGAGGCCCAGCCTCCTCAGTCTCACTCTTTCCTCAGTGTGCTGGGCTCCTGATGACACTCAAGGGACTTCCAAGCACCTACAACAAGGACTTGCAGGTGTGAGGCTGGGGCTGTGGGTGAGGGACCCACCTGCACATACACCGCATCCCATTTCTCGGGGCCCTGGCACATCCAAGCAGGGGCCCCGCGGAATTGCCACCTCCCACCCTATGCACCCAGCCCTTGACTGCCCTTGAGAACTCTCCTCTCTGTTGGTGTGGCTTGTACGAGGTGCTGAGTGTTCCCAGTGGAGGGCAGTGGGGATGCCTCAGTGGGGGACGGGGCTGCTGGGCTCTCACTTCCTGCCGCGTGCCTCGCAGGAGGACAAGGAAGCCGTGTTTGAAGTGTCAGACACCATGAGTGCTGTCCTCCAAGTGGCCACAGGTGTCATCTCTACACTACAGGCAAGCCCCCCCGTCTTGTCCCCCAGGCCCCTCCACTCTGGGATGGGCATGCCAGGAGGTGATCTTGAGAGGAGGTGAGGGTGGGTGCATCCAGAAGATCTGGGGCAGGGGGAGGTGGGGAGGTGTTTGCTCCTGCCCCTGAGACCCGCGAAGAGATGAAAGGTGCTAGCTGCAGGAGAATGGAAGTGGGTTAGAATCTAGGGGTCCCATCAACCGGCCTGACCAGATTTCTTTTTTAGCCGTCTATGATGGGAAATTTCGGTACGCGCAGTTGAGAGAATGCACAAGGAACCCCTATGGCCTAACAGCCAGCTTCAACAATAATCCAACAAATAATGGAGTACCTTGCTTTGGCTATCTTTACCCACTACCCGCCACCACCCGGTGGTTCTGATGCACACTAAGGCTGGGGCCCCTGAGGAAAAGTGCCGACAACCCCAGGAGCTCCCCTAAACATCATCAGTGATGATGGCAAATGGCTCAAGCAGAGAGAGCAGAGCAGGCTGGGTCAGAGTGGATCTGCCCAAGGCCGGGGACATCCTGGCTAACGGGGGGTACGCCTTGGGCCTGAGGCCGGCAGCTTCACCACCCAGGGTCCCCAGGACTCACTACTCCCCCCACCGGTGTCCCCCAGATTCACCGTGACAACATGGCACGGGCTCTTAGTCCTGACATGCTGGCCACTGACCTTGCCTACTACCTGGTCCGCAAAGGGGTGAGTGTGGGGTGGCTGGGGAGGCGGGGGGAGATGGGGATGTCCCCCAGGCCGAGGGTTGGGGGAGCGTGAGGGCATGGGCTGAACAGGGGGCAGAGGAAGACTGAGTCGGTGCTACCGGTGCCTGGCTGCCCCAGATGCCGTTCCGCCAGGCCCATGAGGCCTCCGGGAAAGCTGTGTTCATGGCCGAGACCAAGGGGGTCCCCCTCAACCAGCTGTCGCTGAGGGAGCTACAGACCATCAGGTGCGGCCCCCTCCCCTCCCTCTGCTGCCTCCCAGGAGGTGAGCCTGGGCCCCTGAGGCCCCTGGGGACCCCACGGGGCCCTGGCCCACCTCCTCCTCTCTCCCCCAGCCCCCTGTTCTCGGGCGACGTGAGCCGCGTGTGGGACTACGGCCACAGCGTGGAGCAGTATGCCGCCCTGGGTGGCACAGCGAGCTCCAGTGTCGACTGGCAGATCGGTCAGGTGCGGGCCCTGCTGCGGGCCCGGCAGGCCTAGAGCCCTCCCCACCCCGCGCCCAAATAAAGCAGGCCCAAGAGGAGGACGCTGCTTGTTTCCTGCCCAGCCTGACTCCCTCAGTGGTGGGCTTTTGGGGGCCTGTTGAGTGGGCAGTGGGGGCCATCAAGGAAGCGGAGAAAATGCACAAGGGTAGCAGGAGTCATGGATGGGGAAGGAGAGGGGATTGCCTTCATTAGAGCTTCTGCCCTGCTCAGGCCCCACACCCTTCACTGTCGGTGGCACAGTACGCGGCCCAGAGCATCTTGGGAGGACGGGCCTCCTTGGAGCCTTGATGGCCCCTGATGGGCTTGGTTAATTCAGTCAGTCCCTGTTCATTATCCTTCCTTCCAGCATCCTCTAGGCTCGCCTGCTCACATTCACCCCTTGCTTAACCCACCCTTCCCTGAACAATCAGGCACCGTGAGAGGGTGTCCTGGGCCCTTGTGGGGGGAATGGCATATTTGGTGGTAAAGTCAGTCATCCAGCTAGCGTGGGATGCCAGGCACCAGGTGAGCTTCATACACATGCAAAGATGTCTCCTTCACCCTAGAGAGTAAGGTACTGCCGCGTGGTCCCAGCACGGACCATGAGGTGAGGGCCACAGACAGGCAGTGCCTGGGGCGGGGGGGGGGCTGCCCCCAGTTGCACTCAAGGACTTACATTTGGTCCGCAAAGGGCCCGGGGCCAGGCCTGGCACACAGTAAATGTTCAATAGCAGTGAGTCCCCAGGGCCAGCAGAGGCCTCTTCTACACAGACGTCACCAAAATCCTGATAAGAAATGTCTGAAATTTATGTTTTATTAACAACAAAGTTAAACTCAAGGAAGAATGAATAACCCCTCCCAAGTGTTTCTTGGGAGCAATGGAAACACTTTGTAAACTAAACAACCCAAACTCCCAGCAGTGGGCATACCACACCGCATTCCAGAAAGGGCCAAAGCCATGGCTCACAGAATGTTCTAGAGTATTGGCTCTCAAAGTGTGGTTCCTCCTTCCCCTCCTCCTCCTCATCTGGGAATTTGTTTAAAAATGCAAACTTTCAGGCCTGAGACCTACTAAATCGGATTCCAGGTGGGGGCCCAGCTACCTGTTTTGCAAGGCCTTCAGGTGATTCTGTTGCATGTTCAAGTTTGAGGATCACTGGTCTCTAGAATCTTACTACCTAAAGTCGCTGCAGACCACCGCCTCTCCTCGGCCCCAGCCTGACCTGTTCCAGAATCTGCATTTTAACAAACTCCCCAGATGTTGGTTGTACACATTAGAGTCAAAGTGCTGACTGAGAGAGGGTATGGAGTCCAGTCTCAGAAATGAAGGAGGGACTTATGTCCGTCAAACAGCAGACAGGCTTAAAATAATGATTGTAATACACAACTGTAATACATTTGACACAGGGAATAGTCCCTGCCCTACACCTCCATCGGTAGGGTGCACCACAATCCAAGCGGGAACTCTGTTTTCAGACAAGCCTATTAAAAGTTTCTCCTTAATTGGAATCAGCCCCCAGTGCTTCCCACCTGTGAGCCTGGCCACATGCCCTCCGACCTGACCAGAGGAACGAGCCTCTCCTGGCTCAGAGAGAGCAAGAGTTTGTGTAGCTTTTCTCCAGACTGTCCATTCATGATTGTGTTACCCCCCTTGCCTGCCTCTTTCTATTCTGCCACCAACTGACTACTTAAACCAAAGTTCAGTATGACCTTGTATTGGTTTCCCATAAAACAGCATAAAGATCATCTTAGAATTCTTGAGGTCAGAGTCTGAAATGGGTTTTACTGAGACAAAATCAAGTGTCAACAAGCATCTGGGAGAATCTGTTTCTTTGCCTTGTCCAGTTTCTAGAAGCCATCTGTATTCCTTGGCTTGTGGCCCTTTCCTTCATCTTTGAGGTCAGCAGTACAACGTCTTCAAATCCTTCTGTAACGCCGACCCTCTGCTTCCTTTGTCACATCCTCTGATCTTTCTGCCTCCCTCTTATAAAGACCCATGTGATTACACTGGATCCCCCTGGATAAATCAAGATAATCGCTTCATCTCAAGATCCTTAACTTAATCACATCTGCAAAGTTCCTTTTACCATGTTAGGTAACCTATTCGCAAGTTTGGGGGATTATGATATCGGGGAATCATTGTTCAGTCTACTATATTCTGTTGTCTGGCTCTCAAAGACTAATGTCCATCCCACGTGCCAAACCTTCACTCCATCCCATTTCCCCCCCAAAGTTTTAACCCCTTAAACATCAATGCAAGTTCTAAATCTCATCAACTCAGAAGTCCCATATCTCATTATCTAAATCATCGAAATTAGGTATGAGTGAGACTCTGGGTATGATCTATCCTGGGGCAAAATTCCTCTCTATCCATGAATCTGAGAATCTCATGTGATTGTGGTGTGGAGTAGGGTTCATGCATACAAACCCAAGAAACAAATGATCTAATCCCAGAATACAGGGCTTGTTTAGGCACTCGATAACACTTAGAGGCATTTCAATTAATTTTTAAAAAAGATTTTATTTGTTTTAGAGTACAAGTGGGGTGGGGGGGAAATGAGGAGCAGAGGAAGAGGGACAGGCCGACTGCACTGAGCACAGAGTCCTATGCAGGGCTCGATCCCAGGATCCCGAGATCATGACCTGAGCCGAAATCAAGAGTCGGACACTTAGCCAACTGAGCCACCCAGGTGCCCCGAGGCATTTCAGTTTTAAAAGGAAGAAAATGGAAGGGAAAAAGGAATACTGGTTCCAAGCAATTTTGAAATCCGACCCAGAAAATTCCACTAGGTTTCAAGGCTTGGGAACACAGGTTTTCCCTGGTCTCTGAAAATAACAGTGTTCCTGTGAAACTTTTCATAAGTCAAAATGGTATAAAGAAGCAATTACCATTAATTTAATATGGAAAAATTTATGAGCATTCCCAGAACCCCTCCTAGGCTTTTCTGATACCTTAGGACATATATTGCTAACAGATGCCCAAAATAAATCAAGATAGAGCACAGATGTTCACAGATAGTTCCAAGCTATGGTGGCTTGATGCCGAGAGGCTAAGGGCAGTTCCTGGGGAAGGCGCTAGGTGGGGCCGCTCTTGCTGCTTGGGGTGCACACTGCCTCTATAAAGGCTCAAGGCAAAACACACAGTATGCCAATTTTGCTTTTTTCCCTTTTTAAAAGCAAAAGTCTTCGGGTTTCTTTTGGTTAGTGAAAACGGTACTAATGTAGATCTTTCATGAAAGGAAAGTGGTGTAAGGCAAACTTTTGAAAAGCAGCGGATGCCCACAATCCTCCCCGCCCTTGAGCTCTGCCCTCTGGACCTGCCCCACGCCCCGCAGAGCCATCATTCTTTTTTCCTGAAGGGTAGCACATCTTTACAGTTGAGTAACATGTAAGTGGCCTGTTTCCTGCTTGAAGAATTTTGAGGAAACTCGGGAAGCCTTCTTTAATTTCCTCTCCTCCTCCTCTTCATCCTTGCTAGGGATGTTTTTGCTGATATAATATCCTTAAGAACTTTGCGGGTCTCCTGTGAATGTCACAGGGGTTCACTTCATGAGACAAGAGATTGCTCTACAGATCTTTCCGAAATAATGCCATTTTTATTCCTGGCTTCTGCTGAGAAAGCTGAAGGGATCCGCGAGTCACGTGCCAGATCTCTTCAAAGAGCACTCTTAACAACAAAGTACTCTGATCTTTTGATCTCTTCCAGACACTAGCAAAAGGTTGTCCAACCATAGGCTCTCTCTCTCTCTCTCTATAGTTGTTGTTGTTTTTTTTTAAGATTTTATTTATTTATTTGACAGAGAGAGACAGCGAGAGAGGGAACACAAGCAGGGGGAGTGGGAGAGGGAGAAGCAGGCTTCCCGCCGAGCAGAGAGCCCCATGCGGGGCTCGATCCCAGAACCCTGAGATCATGACCTGAGCGGAAGGCAGATGCTTAACGACTGAGCCACCCAGGCATCCCTAGGCTCTCTCTCTAAAACATGCTTTCCTGATGGTGAAATCCCTAATTTTAGCATCTTTTGAAATCTAGATTTTCCCAAATTATCAAGTCCTTGTTTCTTTTTGCTTAATAGTCTTACCTCAATTTGTCTCTCTTGTTCTATACTCTTGGCTTCAAGGGATGATGAGAAAGCAAGTTCCTGGCAAAAGGAATGAGGTTGTCTTATTGGCTTTTGTTCTAAACTTTAATCATCCCTTGGGGTTTGGGGCAGGCCCCGTTTCACCAAGCCTGTTGTCTTCTGAATGAAATCAAGGTCTATAAGGAAGAAGGGGGTGGGATGGCTGTGAGTTTAGCAGCCAATTATGTCCAGAATATATGATTACTGTCCTATTGAAAAACCAAAATTGCATTCACATCTGCCTCAAAGCTGGTAGACTCAAAGTCAACAAAACTCCAGAGGTATGTTCCTTTTTTTTTTTTTTAAGATTTTATTTACTTATTTGAAAGAGAGATAGCAAGAGAGACGAAAAGAGAGCATGAGAGGGGTGGAGGGGTACAGGGAGAGGGAGAAGCAGGCTCCCTGCTCGATGTGGAACTCGATCCCAAGACCCTGGGATCATGACCTGAGCCAAAGGCAGATGGTTAACGACTGAGCCACCTGGGCACCCCCAAGACACACCCTTTTTAAAAGAATATTTATTTATTTTAGAGAGAAAGAAAGAGCACACATGTGCATGCTGGTGGGGAGGGGCAGAGGGAGAGAATTTTCAAGCAGACTCCACAGGGGCTCCATCTCATGACCCATGTGATCATGACCTGAGCTGAAACCAAGAATTAGACCTTTAACTGACTAAGCCACCCAGGCGCCCTAAGACACCTTTTTAAGGGTTCAGTTTAGCGGCTTTTAGTGTCTTCACAGAATTGTGTGACCATCACCACCACCAATTTTAGAACATTTCATCACCCCAAAAAGAAGCCCACAAGAAAGTTTTGTGCTTCAAAGAAAGTAAAAGGCATTCATAGAATGGGAGAAAATGTTTGTAAATCATATACCTGATAAGGGTCTAGTATCCAGAATATAAAATGAACTTTTACAATTCAACAATGAATTGTTTATTGTTTTAAATTTTATTTAATTG